TTATGCTCCCAGTACTTCTGTTAGTCTCAAAGGTGCCACAGGACCCTCTGTTGCTTTTTGTAAATATTTCAGTATCTCTATGATGGTGAAGGTGTTGGTGTCGCCCAGTGAGAGGTGCCATTTTATTACAACATACTACTGTATGTATAGAATTTAGTATAATGAGTTGGACCATCCCCTTCATAGGCACGGACCCCCAACCCTGCGGAGAGGTCTTCTCAAGATTCAATGAAAGGGGAGGAGGGAGGAAATGAGATGACTCTGACTGATTCATATCTATCTCCTCCCCACGTTCAAAGGGTGACAGTGGTACAGCTGCATTTTTTGCATTCTCTGTGCACAGATCTCAGGGAAATGATTGGGCTCAGAGTATAGGAACAAAGTTCATAATAGAAATCACAACAAAAGGTAGGAAACTTTCAGACTTGTTGTAAAGTCAAATTTGTGCTTACGCTAACAGTAGTTAAATAGCTGTAATGCTTTTATGTTTATTAGCTGATGCTGGAATTCAGATTTACCCAATGAAAGACAATCAGTACCTCACCACACACATTTTCCCTTCCATATGTATTGCCACATATGCAAACACAGATCTTGTACTAAACCCTTCCCGTAGCTCCCCAAACACTCACTTCATGTCTTTGTCCTCAAAAGACTGCAGTAATGGACCCTCCTCCATATTCCCCAAGCCCCTAATTCAGATCACCCTCTTACTTGCAACCCTATTCCAGCTCCCAAGAGTCCCCATTATCCATCTAGATCCTCCTGTGAGCCTCTCTCTCAACTACACAAAGCAAACAACTCCGGTTCTTCTTAACCTCCCACTAAAACCCAGACCTTGTTCTATGCCTCCATTCTCTGGCATATTAGGGTTCTCTATCTTAGTCCTTCTCTATGTTTTCCAGTGCCATTACTCTATGCCTTTTCTGCCTAAGACACAAGAATGTCCTCCAGTGCTTCCTGAACTCCCACCGCAGCTCAAGACTACTCCCCCTCCTCACAAGGGCCAGGGCAGAGTCTTGCTTGATGACAGGGTTTTTTGGAGAGGTGGACAAGGTGGCTGAGCACTGTATGCGTCAGAATGTTCAACACCCTCCCCTCACAAAGCAAAACATTGATAATTCTGGTAAGAAAAGGCATGGAAGTACTAAGCAGATTGGATGGGCAGGGGATGGAATCAAATGTGGCCCATTTCAGGGAACTCAGGAAATCACAGACACTCTCATTAGAGGCCATATCACATCCAGCCAAAGACTGACATTCTATCAAGGTACATCCAGTTAGCCTATAGCCTCACCATTTTCACAAAGAATAAACTTGATTCGTTCATTTGGAGGAACCACTAATGGAGGCAAGGCAATCTGAATGCACTATCATGAGTTCAGATGGATGGTTCTTTGGAGTATCTCTGATGAAGGACAAGTAAAGCTTTGAGGTGTTTGTCGTAGTTCTTGTGCACACTTACATAAAATCCTTGCACTGAAGACAACTGTATTCTGTAGTCTCACGTACACTGGCAGTTTGACCATTGCTGACAACAGTTACCAGCACTGGCATCTGCTGTATAGGTGCTGAAAACTGTTTAACCATTACTCTAGAGAGAACAGAGCATTTCAGCATCGTTCCAAAAAGTGTTTTTGAGGTTGCTGGTGCTGAAAAACTGTTTTGTCCCAGCTACATTAACTCTTAAAACATTTTCAGCACCCATTCAGTGGGACCTGCTACTGTCAGCCATTGCTGTCAGTCAGTTTGCTTAAACAGGGCTTAAATGAATCCCTGGTCATATACTCTCCTCTCCAATTTTCTGCCCATCTGGTTCAAAACCCACAGGTTATTGTTAAACAACTGTTAGGTTAACCCCAAAAAAGCAAACAAATTTCCAAACTTAAAATACTTTATAACCACGTGGAAAATATCTTCCCTTTGTTGTAGTTTATCTCCTTTCTTGTGGTTTATATGCTGAGCAGCATGTCTTGTGTCCAGGGTTTGATATGATTTTTGTATTTGCAACCATTTTGTTGGTGCAAACAGCACATATTAATGTCCTTATATACCCAAGTCCACAACAATCCTTAATAAAACTTGAGGCTAGTGAGTGAACTGTGATACATCAGGAATCCTGAGATTCTGCAACCTATAGTGGATGCTATAAGAGCTGGAGACAAAGCTTTCTTGGGAGCCAGCCCAAAACTGGAGTGAACTCCAACAGGAACAAAGGACCATCACAGACCTCACCATGTTCCGTTCAGTGCAAGACATATTCTTTTGACCTTCCTTCTCTAACATCAACACACAACAAAACACTCCACTGCACATACTGGGGAGAGAATGTGACACAGATGATGGTCCCGTTGCTTAATGCACTATTGGAAAGCCCTCAGATACTTCAGTGATATAAAAACCTATAGAATAGAATAAAATGGTGTAGAAGCTTAATTGCTGTTTGTAGTTTTCTTCCTTTGTATTTATATTTGTGTTTGCATCTTTTATCAGATATTCCAGCATGCACATTAAGCATGTTGTTGAGTCTATACAATAAAACATAATTTGCACGCTTAGTTTAGAGGTGTATGTATAGATAGATAGATAGACTTACAGTAGTATACTTCTAATTATTTTTATTTTTTAAATTTAGGCTCCAGTTCAGCAAACCATTTAAACACCTGCTTAGCTTTGGTATTAAAGGAATTTAAGAATGTGCTGAAAGTTAATCCCATCTTTAACTGCTGTGCTGAATAGAAATTGTCCTAAGCAGGTGCTTAAAGTTAAGCATGTGCTCAAGCAGTTTGCTGAACTGGGGCCTTATAGGTCATCTGTCACAAAACAACTAAGTTTCATACAATAAAAAGGAAAGTATAGAATGCTAAAAACCAATCAGAAAGAACTAGCTAATCCAAGTATCTGACCAGACAGAACCATAAGGAAAAATGCAGTGATTCTCAAGGCAAGCTACCCCATCAAACAACAGGACTCAATTCCCAACTGATACAAAATGATAGCAGTGTACAAGCACAAATAGAACATCTTTAAACATATAGTATGACAATGTATTGTTGAGAAGTGATTCAATTCCATAGTTGGACATTTATACAGTAAAATATTTGGTATATTAAAAATGGAAGCAAGTGACTCCAAACCTGTAGTTCTTTTTCATGCTTTTTTTTTAGGTCTTCTAAAAAACTGTTGTGTTCGGCTCTTGCCTGATCAAGGGCTTGTTCCACTGCATCTTCTTTTTCCACTTTAGCCTTAAAAAATAATCATAGCCGACTGCAGTTAGCTAAAGATCTGTTTACATGGTATTCTGACTTGGATCAGAGATTATTGTAATCAATAGCTTTATTGTTTTTCATTTAAAAATTAGAGACAGATAAATCTATATAGAAATGATAACATATGTGGTGTTTTGGGCTATTTGCTAACATTGTTACATTGATCTTTGGAAAATTGCCGGTACTGTGATCAATATTAAAAAGTGGGCATTTGCTAACACTGTACCATACAATGGCATTGAGATACCACAGTTTTGTTACCTATTGTAAGCATAGTGGGCAACTCTGGATCTCACATAGCACTGTCTGGAAAAGGATTGGCAAATGTTGATATTTTATTAGTGATCACTGTGTTTCAAAGACAAATTTTGATGTAAAATTTGTTTAAATTCTTCATAATGTTAAAAATGTGCCTTGTTCTGAGATTAGATTTGACAAGTTGGTCAAGTGACTGATAAAATAATGTCAGTTGACTGTTCAGTTCACTGCTTATTGTTTGACCATGGTCAAAGATTGTCAAATATTCCAGCAAGAATACCTTGATATAGGCGGAGGCTGACATTTTTGATTGTATCATGGTGCCATCAGTTAGCAAATTTACTTAAAGGTCTTAATCACTCATTTTACTACATGCTAATGCCACCTGTTGGGGAAAAGATGAACTAAATGAAAGTGAGCATCTTGATTGGCTGGTATCTTCTAGAACAAATATTGTTTGTATGTGTATCTTTAGTTGCATACCAGGCCATCAATGTACATGGTGGCTTACAAAACACATTAAACAAATTAAAAGACACAGTCCCTGCCCCAAAGAGCTTGCAATCTAAACTGACTAGACAAACATATAGAAATTAACTCAGAAGGGAGTAGGAGTGAGAGAGGAGGGTTTACAGTCATTAAACTTCCTCCCCCGACACAAAGAGAAAACATGGACAGCCATTAAATTACCTGAAGAGGTGGCCTGCTGCCTACCTAGCATAAGTGCATTTAAAAATGATTTTTTTCTTTTATGGTTGCTATGTGTTTGTTTTATTTCTGTTTAATTTCATTTTTATTTTCTTTTGTAGCTGTTCAGTCTTGAATACCGTTCACATTTAAGTGCTAACCTAACATCGCTGAACTTCATTGTGTTTTGCATTTTTTCTGAGTTAAAATAACTCAGTTAAGTAATTTGTTTTTTTTTTAAAGTAGGCATAAGTATCTAAGGCTAAGCTTATTGGAGACCATAAAGTCTTACTCTTTTCTGTTACTGTTGTATTAAATTAATGCTTTAAAATATTTTACCACTTTTGACATTATTTGACAAAATTTGACCAGTAAGTTGACCGGTTATTTTGGGATGGTCAAATGCCTAAGTTAGTTGAGCTTGATAACTAGAGGATCATATTCATGTGCAAATTTGTGCATACAGAACCTGCTCTTGCTTACATTGGAGTCAATGGGAGTTCTGCTATTCATTGTGTGCTGGATTTGGTACTTATGCAACAACAACTGTAGAATTATTGTTGTCTGTTACATAAACAAGCATTGATAATTGGCTAAAAATAAATGTAGTATTAAAAAATATTTAACCTGTAGACTGCGTGTTCTTTCCAGTATTTCTAGATTTAAAGTAAAAAATGAACAGGCAGATGAAGATGAACTGATATTAACTATCAGTTCAAACATAGATGGCACCTGACTCTTGCTTTTGGGAGTGGCTGGGAGTGAGCGCCAGGAGCTCCTGAGAAGTAGGAGGGGGCCACCGGTGCCCGGATCATGGCCCCACCCCCTGTTCTGCCCCGAGGTCCCACCCCTGCTCAGTCTCTTCCCCATGAGGCTGCTCCTGCACTGGGGGTGCTGGAACAATTTGCACAGCAGGGGTGCTGAGAGCCATTGAACCAAACTGTAAACCCTTCATATAATGGAAAACATTTCAAGCCATGGAGTGTGGCAGCACCCCACACACACACTCTTAGTTCCAGCACCTATGGCCTACACGCCACCTCTGCCCTGAGGTCCCGCTCCTGCTTGGCCTCTTCCCCTGAGGTTCTGCCTCCACTCTGCCTCTTCCCACCCCTGCTCCACCTCTGCCCCTCCCCAAGGCCCCCTGCCTGCCTGCACTTACTCCTCTGCGTCCCCTCCCTTGAGGCCCCCTGCCTGCTGCATGTTCCTCTCTGTCCCCTCTCACGAGGCCCCCTGCCTGCCCACCGCTTGTTTCTGCCCTCTCCCCCAAACCCCTGCCTGCCACTCACTCCTCTCTGCCCCCTCCTTCGACGCTCCCCTGCCCACTGCTTGCTCCTTTCTGCCGCCTCCTGCCTTAAGGGCGAGCGATGGGGCGAGAGGGGGTGTAGAGGAGTGAGCAGAGGGTGGGGCCTTGGGGGAAGAGGTGGAGTGGGGGCGGGAAGAGGAGGGGCGGGGGCGAGGCCATGGGGGAAGAGGCCAAGCAGGGCAGGGCCTCTGGGCAGAGCATGGGCGGGGCCATGGTCTGGGCACCGGTGGCCCTCCATTTCTCAGGAACTTCCAGCGACAGCGCTCCAAAGGCGCCGGGTGGGCATGCCTCCAAAGAGAGGTGTACCGCATCGGACATTTTTTGGCCCGTTTCGGGAGGCTTAGCTCTCCAAGCCTCTGATACCTGCCGCCCATGAGCTCAAAGGAATTTATCCACGATTTGCATGCTACAACGCAGATTCCATAATTATAAATGTTAAATTCAATGATAGTAGTGTAACTTAATTTACCTGAAACCATAGTTCGGCTTTAATTTTTTCAATCCGTTCTTTTACTTCTAATTCCTTTTTTTCACATTGTTCTTGTTGAAGATCTGCCCCGAGCTCTATGTATATTCAACAGAAATGGATCATGTGCAACATGTTACAAGTATAAAGAAACTAAACTGTCTCCTGCCCATTTGCTTGATTTGATATTTTAAAAAAAATAAAAAAGATACACAATGTGAATCCTCACTGCAGACAGTATTTATAATGTAAATATTGTTAATACAGTGTCTTAAGAGAATGCACTGCTTTTAAAACAAGGACTCTGCTCAAGGAGCATACTGTCTAGGGACCTGATCTTATGAGGTGCTGTGGACCCACAATTCCATTGATTGATGGCTATTTGGTGACCTATATCAAACAAATTTGGTGGTCTTAGTCTATTTCCTAGCAAACAAATGTTGACTTCACCCAGTCTACCACAACAGCTGACACTAATTCTCTCCATTGTTAGCCCACACAGTAGAAATAAGTGCTGAGTAGGCATCTGGACTAAACTGCCATCTCAATCCAGAAGTTAATCTCTTCAAAACAGAATTAAGGCACATTGATGGGGCAGTTTGGAGAGTCGACACTGTCACTACAAATGTTGTATCCATTTTGTGGATAATAGAGGCTGCCAACTCCAGGGTTGTCTAGCTCAGTACCTTTCAACAGCATCAAGTTTACTATAGCCATGCTAATTTGGAACTATGTGTATCAATATGTGCACCAAGGGTAACAACCACTCTACCAGAAGAACACATATAGGCCAAATCCACTCAAGCCACATCTACACTCTGGGGATTATAGGGACATAGCTATGGTACCATAGCTATGCTGGCATAACCCCACAGTGTAGACATAGCCTACAATGAGGGGCAGGTGATTCTGTCACTGTAGAAATACCACCTCACCAAGCAACGTTGGATAGATCAACAAAAGCATTCTTCCATTGACCTAGCTGCGTCTCCACCGGGGATTAAGTTGGCATAGCTATGGTGCTCGGGTGGGGAGTGGAGGTTGATTTTTCACATCCCTGAGCACTACAGCTATGTTGACCTAAATTTTAAATGTAGATCAGACCTTAGGTTTTTTTTTTCTTTTCCCTGCCTATTATCAAACCTGGGACTGTTGATGTCTTAAAAGAAGTAGTATGTGAGTATATAGTTTAGTAACGTATGGTTAATAAGAAATCATACTTATGATGTAATTTGTAGTTTCTGACTACTTTGGTGCAACTATTCTCCATGAATTGAATTTCACACAAGATACCATTTTTTATACTGAGAATACCGAGTTTTGAAAATTATCTTATCTTTTTCTTGCCTATGTGGGGAAAAGCCCAAAAGGGGCTACATGTCTGATATACTACGCTATAAAGAGTAGTATAGTGTACTGAAACTTGCTATAAGGAGGCACATTTTCATGACTGGCACATACATTAGGCATATAGTTGCGCTAAACTAGCTGCGATAATAATTCTGTTAATAAGCTTCACATAAATATGAGTGTGAATCTATGAAGGCAGTATATACAAAGAACATGAGTGAATGACAAGTAACTGGTTTAGAGAGAGACAGAGTGGGTGAGGTAATATCTTTTATTGGACCAACTTCTGTTGGTGAGAGAGACAAGCTTTCAAGCTTACATGCTCTTCTTCAGGTCTGTGAAATATACTGTCACAGCTAAATACAAGATGGAACAGATGGTTTAGCATAAGTAGTTAACACATATTTCAAGGGACAATTCAAAGTGAAATGGCCCGTTAACACACCTTCAGTCATCAGGTAGGGGAGGGACCGGGGAAGGAAGTGGGTGGAGGCAGTTGGGAGGGGGGTTGTTAGTGGGTTACAGATTGTTGTAATAAGCCAAAAAATCCAGTGTCTCTATTCAGTCCATGATTTTTATTGTCTAGCAAAGTTATGAATTTAAACTCCCAGGCTCATCTTTTGAAAGTATTGTGCATGTTTCCTTTGAGGATGATAGGTCAGATATAGAATGATTGCTTTGTGAAAAGTGTTCACCCACAGGTGATACGGTGTTTTTGGCTTTTATCATTTTTCTGTGTTACTTCATTTGAGAGCATAATGATTGTCTGGTTTCACCCATATAGCTGTTATTGGGACATTTACTGTACTGGATGAGGTACAGCACATGTTGTCATAAGCATGTGTAAGAACCCATGGATCTTGAATGGTGCGTTGTGTGGGGTGTTGATCATTGCATCAGTGGAGGTATGTCTGCAGGTTTTGCATCTGTTGTTCTGGTAGAGTCTGATGCCACTTTGAGTTGGTGTATCCTGGTCTGTGGGGAGGTTGATTCTGATGGTAAGCTTGGAGAGGTTGGGGAGTTGTTCAAAGGCCAGAAGAGGCGGGTTCTGGAAAGATTTATTTCAGGATGGGGTCCCCCTAGAGTATGGGTTGTAGATGTTTGATGATACTCCATAGGGGTTCCAGTGTGAAGTGGTAGGTGACAACTAGGGGTGTTTTAGGGTGGTCAGAGGGGGAGCATGTGAGTGATGAGGAGATGCCTGATCTTCCAGTTAGTCAGAGTGCAGGTGACCTGGCAGCTACTGCAGCATCCATACCTCCATCTCAAATGGATGTAACCATGCACATTCCTGAAGAAAAGTGCAGATCAGAGAAGAGTGTGGTGGAGGTGCAAGAAACAGCCGCTGCTGAGTTTAGTTCCTTAAGTCTAGATGATCCAGGACTGCGGACCCACTTGAGCAGTAGCCTGAGGGACTTCCTTGTACTGCATGAGCCACAGCAAGTGAAAAACTTCATATTCCCCAAAGACAATGAAAATAGAAGTTTCCATCCAACACATTACTAGCGTGAAATTCCCAATCGTGACAAAGTGGAGAGGCCAGGGCTTATGTACGCAAAAACCCAAAATGCTGCATACTGTTTTTGTTGCAAACTCTTCCAGTCTAATTTTCCAGCCACATTGGGTTCTACAGGAACAAAGGACTGGAAAAATCTGGCTATTAATCTGGCATGCCATGAGACGGCAGCAAATCACCAGAGAGCATTCCAGAGCTGGAAAGACCTTGAGATGAGACTAAGTTTAAAGGCCACCCTAGATGATCAGCATCAAGAGAAGATTGCATCAGAGTCTCTTTACTGGCAAAATGTTCTGAAAAGGCTCATTGCCATTGTGAGAATGCTTGCTACCCAAAACCTAGCACTGTGTGGCACTTCAGATCAGCTGTAATTGTGGAGCTGATGGCTGAGTTTGATGCTGTACTCCAGGAGCATCTAAGAAGAGTCACCACCCAAGAAATAGAGGGTCCTGTGGCACCTTTAAGAC